GGAAATTGCATACACCGGCCAATTCTATGTGAACGATTCCAGACAAAAACTTGAACAGCAAGCACTACAACAACAAATGGATATTGACTTTTCAATTGCTTCAAATGAATTCATATAAAATTTTGATAAAACAATGGAGGGACTTGAAAAAAGCTATTCAAATTTGGAACTGCATAACAACATACTTGTGGATACAGATAAAGTCTTACAACAAGTGGAACAACAACTCGAAACATATATTGGTGAAATGGTACGAACAATGAAAGACAATGTTCTTCCAGCTGATAAGCCAACACAATCTCTGCCAGATACAAGAGACAATCGATTATTCATTCCAGGTATTGTTAAATTTATTTGTACCCAAGGACAATACAATAGAATCTATTTAAACCAAAGGGGTTCACAAAAACCAGAATATCGTATTGCAATTCTTCTTGATCAATCGGTATCCATGACTGGACCAACATATTTTTCATCTGTCGACATGTTGCTTTCCATTTGCGCAGTATTGAACAAAATAGGCATTGAAGATTTTAATGTTTTGACATTTGGAAAACGTATAGAACTAATCAAGAGTTACAAACAAAATTATGATCGATTATTCGTACATCATCTATTGAAAGCATTAAAAATGGACGGTGGAACAACATTGTTAAGTGATGCTATTTTTGCTGCATCCGAATTACTACAACAACAATCGACACATAACAACAATCATGGACCTATGTTTATTTTTGTTTTAACTGATGGTTATGATAAACGTGGAAGTTTCATACATCGTATCATTGCTCATGCAGAACAACGTTTGATATCGCTGTGAAGCTAGCACGACGAGTAGCTACCACGACGGATTTAGGTAAACCTAAAATCCTGAATACTTGGACTTTTGGGGGTGGGATCTGGGTGTGGATGCTTGTGTACACGTTGCCGAGCACCCTCACCCAACTTCTATCCGTACAACGTTCAGCGTTATAGATTTTAAGCCCACCTAAATTCGTCGTGGTAGCTACTCGTCGTGCTAGCTTCACATCGATACGTTTGATTACCGTTATCGGCATTGGTGTTGGTCTTGAATCAAATGGTGTCTGTTTGTCGTTCAATGATTGGATTATTGCACAAAATCCACGTTTAATTTGTGATACATTAGTTAACTGGTCGAATGAACAAAGTGATGGACGAACATCGAATGATCCATTATATCATTTAGATAGGGGAAATATACCATCGCCAATCTTCCTTCTCGCCAATTGTACTTTTCGCCAACTGGCGAATATCAACTAGCTTTTCGCCAATTGGTGAATTTCGTGGGGAATTTCGCCAATTGGCGAAAACACTATGGCGAAACAAAAAGTTTATAGGCGAATTTCACACTAGAGATTCACCAAATTGACGAATTTCACACCAGAGATTCGCCAAATTGACGAATTTCATACTAGAGATTCGCCAATTGGCGAATATACTAATTCAAAAATAAATATTTACTGACGCATTTCACACTAAAGATTCGCCAATTTAAATCAATTGAGTTGTAACTCAACTGTAGTACTTGATATTGTTACCGATCCAACTGAATTAGCTCAAGTGTATATAAGTACAACAATAAAAAACAATTGTTTTGTCTGTGTTCAACTTAGTCGAACATGTACCTTGTGGGTGTGGGTGTGAGTATTTCATGCGCTTACCGGTACCTACCAACACGCACGCAGACAACACCCACACCCACACGCTATCATCAATTTAGTTGAGTCATAATTCTACGGACTACAATTGGCGAATTTCACACTAGAGATTCGCAATTGGCGAATACACCATGAGGAAACAAAAGTTTATCGGCGAATTTCACACTAGAGATTCGCCAAATTGGCGAATTTCTCCACGACGTTCGCTAATTGGCGAATATACTAAGGCAAAAATAAATATTTATTGGCGAATTTCATACTAGAGATTCGCCAATTGGCGAATTTCGTGGGGGAATTTCGCCAATGGCGAATATACTGTTGGCAAAATTCCAGATTGGCGAACTTACATAAAGCCTTGCATATTCAGAAGAAACTTAACAGAATCATAATTCAATCAACGTCATAAGCAACTTCTTCATTTGGAGAATAAATTTCTATGCTTTCGCAAAGTCATTAGGCATGCAAACACGATGATGACGTTTTTCTGTTACTTTTGAATTTAATAAAAAGAAAAAGGGTTGGCATCTTCAACATTGATGTCGACTTGTAGAACATGATACAAGAAAAAGATAACAAATAAAACACTAATCGCTATTATATGAATTTCATTATTCATAGAAAAATACAAACGAGACTTTTTAATATTTGTCAACTGTATATAAACGTATATGCCTTCCTTTCGCATTCATAAGAGGGTGTGGGTGTGGATGTGGGTGTGAGTGTGATCGCGGATCGTTGTAGATACGTGTGCAACTGTGTGTGTGGGTATGGATGGGAGTTTATCTGTGGATGTGTCTGGATTCGGTTGCGAGTAAGAATGTGGTTACGTTTTGGTGTAAATGTGAGTGTTGCTGTGGGTGTAGGTGTGAATGTGAGTGCGAGAGATGTGGTGGTTATATATGTCCATCAATTCTTCGTCCACTCACATCTACACCCATGCCGCGAAAATGAGTGTATGAGGAATAGTTATCGGTGGGAAGCAACTGTCATGGAATCTCAAAAAGAATTCTCTCACTATTTTATCTACAGAAGTAAATTACGAACGTGGGTGTGCATTTTAGTAAGATACAAAAAAGATGCATACTTACACTTCATAGCTCCACCCATTTACATTTATTAGTATTTCTGTAGACACAATATTTCACTTCATTCTTTACACGTTTCACTTTTCAGTGCTGAACTTTTACTATCCTTCATATGTTTGTACTTAAGTGTCCATGTTCATCGTTTTAGTTCTCCTTTATGCATAAATAGTAGAAAACCTTCGTCTACGTTGAAAAAAATAATCACATAAAACGCGCATCTAAGTTCAGGATTAAAACGTATGATAATAGTACTGGTACTTGATAAATACCTTTGCAACAGCAAAAGCTAGTCTTGCATGCAAGTCTCATAGGCAGTAGAAAGCAAGCAGATTTCTCTGACGCGCTTCATTAGTATGCCCAATTTTTGAAAACCTACTAAAAACTAGTTTTAAATTGGTAAATCTCTTCAGTTTTTTTGTCAAATTTACAAGAGTTAACTGTCTTTTCTATGTAGTTTTATTATTTAGAATAATTTTGTGTGTTTTCGGAGAATTTTCGATCTTATTCGATCATTTTTAACATCAAGAACGAGAGTAACAAAAACTCCAGAACTTTACCCATTAAAATCTTGTTAATAGTAGATACTAGCACATAACACTTAAGTGTAACCAAGTACGTCCTGGTATCTGTTCATGCAAAGTTCTTGTTGTTTGTTAATGTTAAAGTCTTGTTCCTCTCGTTCTTGATGGTTGAAAATGATCGAATAAGTTCGAAAATTCCCCGAAAACATAAAAAATTATTCTAAACAATAAAACTACATAAAAAATACAGTTAACTCTACTAAAAACTAGGTTTAAAATTATATTACTTATCTTGTCTGTCAAAATATGCTCGTTGCCCAGCTGAATTTTCTTCAAAACCAAAACAGAAACAAATCACCAACACAATCACCATCGAGCTTTAGTGTAATATTTCTTCCGTTACAGAGGTACCATGTTTAAGTTGGCATATGAAATTTTAAAAAAAGAATCAAATGAAACCTTATATAGTTCATACTCACTAGAAAAAACATTTATAATGGTAGTAAATAATGATTAAAACAACTTATTAGATGTTATTTTTTTTTCGAAATGCTTGAAAGGCTATTAGCTTAAAATTGAATTATTTATTCTTCGATTAACGATAAAACGAACGTGAGTATACCACAGAGAAAAGGTGAACGAATGAAAGCTTTCTATTACATGTGTGTCTTCATAAGACCAGACACGAGCAGTATGTATAAAACTAGGAAAATTTGAAAAAGTAACGATTTAAATGGGTTAGTGTCGACCTTGTTACATAACCGATCTAGTAGGAATAAAACCTTCTTGTTTTCCTATTGAAGCAATATTTGTATTTGTTTTATGGGTTAGAAGGGTGTTGATGTGGGTGGGTAGGGTATGAGTATGGGTGGATGTTTTTTTTATGCAGAAACACAACCACCAACCCACACTCCCATCCACACACCCACACCCTTCTTGTTGCATTTAAGCAACTCGGGGTAATCTCATGACTCTGATCTACAATCATGGTGGATTAGATATATAGCAATTTTCAGACTTCCCGTATCTCTCGTAGCTGAAATATAGTAAGGTTAGACTTTTGTCAGCTACTACAACACTTTTATTAATAAGCTATAGAAATGCGATTACTCATTGTTAGAACTCATAGGGTTGCTCATACCGAGCAATATCCGTCAGGCTGCAAAAAACTGCGTTCATAACTGTAGAAAAACATATCTCCAGATATAAACTTTTTGTAGAACTATATAGAAAAAACATTTTCAATACCAGAACAGATGTTGCCACAAACCTCGTCAATAAAGTTACACATAGCAACTGATTATTCTGGCGACGAAAAGTAATTGTATTTCATACGAATGGTAGCAGAAGAAAAAAAAATCTTCAAGTACTGGTGAGCTTTTCGGTCTGAGAAAAAGATGTGTTTTACGTCAACAATGAGAACGCAAAAGGATTATTTGTTCTTCTTCTAACCAACAAAGCAGTCGATTTCTTTCATTTTTTTATTTCACAACAAAGCTTTTTGAGCACAGCGAAAAGGCAGAAGTAAGTGTTTCAATCTTCAATCAAAACATACCATACCTTCGGGGTGTGGGTGTGGGTGGGGTGTGGGTGTGGGTGTGGGTGGGTGTGGGGCGTGGATGGGTGTGGGTTTGGGTCTGGGTGTGGGGTGTGGGTTTGGATGTGTAGGTGTGGGAGTGGGCGTGGGTGTGGGGGGGTGAGTGTGGGTGTAGACCTTCTACTAAGTTATGTACCCACACCAGCACCCTTGAGTCGCATACGGATACACACCCACACCCACACCCGCATCCTTGAATCGCATACGGATACAAACCCACACCCACACCCGCATCCTTGAATCGCATACGGATACACACCCGCATCCTTGAATCGCATACGGATACACACCCGCATCCTTGAATCGCATACGGATACACACCCACACCCACACCCACACCTACCCACACCCCATCCAAACGCATACCCACACCCAAATAACCACAATTACAATAAGGTTAAGAAAATGATAAAAATTTTTCCACGTATATATCATTTATTGTATATGTGTTACATTATCATTTTACGGTGAAGTTAGGAAAATAATAAAAACTTTTTTTCCTCATTTATTATTTATTATGAATCCAATAAATGGCAATCTCCGTGAAAGACACGTTTCTGTATGTGTTTGACTCTCAGTCATACTATCTCAAGTTGAGAAATAGAAAAAAGATTTATTATTTATCTGACTCTACATTGAAGTCATCATTTTACACTTTTATTACAAATGATATAAATGATGCATTTATATTTTGTTTTATCATCTATTTTAGAGATGATCAAAAACTTCTGAAAGTACATTTATATTATAAATCGAATTAGACATATTCTAACTTTCTAAGCCCATTCAATGTGCTACTCTGCGAAGTGTTGACAAACATTCACATAATTTGGAAGGGATACTGCAATTCGGACTTTACTGAATATAAGTAATATTTCAAATGATATCATCGAACTTTTCTTCACATAATTCGCTTCAAAATCCGACTGTCAGAAAGT